TTAATCATTCATTAACCTTCTAAAACGGGGCCGAAATTCTCATAATATAGCCTTCAGACCGGCACGCTCCGAAACAGTTTTGCCCCCTCTTTGACATTTTCCTAATGAGAAAAGTCGTTAGTTCCCCTCCATGGATGAAGTAAAATTTACATGTTTGTCGGACGCTTACGTCCCATAGTAGACGGGTTGCTAGATTTGCAATTTTTTCGATGATTATTTTGCTTTCAAATTATGTCTGTTTAATAGAATCCGAAGTTCTAAATAAATAGTGCATAAATAAATATGCAGTACTGAATGCATATCTAGTGCACACTTTATTTAGAACGAAATGTATGCAATGTTTATATTTCACTCACTATTTCTAATCAATCTCGTAAATAATTTATGAATTTTTTAACTTTGTTTTCACTCTTCATTTATATTCGCGTATTTTCGTATTAGAAATTAGAAAGCGAGAACAAAATTTAACAAAATATAGTAAATACGGACTAGGTTTGTAAGTCTGCAGGCTGGAATGCGATTTTTAATAACATATTTTCATTAATAAAATAATGGTAATGACTAATTTAATGAAATAATAATACAGTCAAAAGTCGTTAATTCGGACACCCATAATCCGGAATGATCTATAATCCGGACCTCAAAGCTACAAACTTTCTGCGCATGCGTCGCGTTCACGCATGCGCACAGGTGTTTACGAGTGCGTGTAAGACCTTTACGGCTGCGAATATGTTTTTGCGCATGTGCGTTTAATGTGTAACGGACGGTATAATCTAAGCAAAAATTATTTAATTCAGTTAATGTTGCAGATTGCGTTGTTCCTTAATCTTCGAATTGGATCCGGCTTATTATTTTTTGCGGACTGTTAGAGCAATTTCATAAAAGTAAGCTTGAACTTTCGATTATTTCAAATAGAATTTCCGATATATATTTACTAATATGTAATTTGTATCTACAAAGCGAAAGTATGTTTTGAAATCCGAAATCTCTTTATCAATTTCACGCCGCCGATTGGAAGTTGATCTGTCAGCATTATCCTTATCTTCAGGGCAGATGTTTTTATTTTATTTGGCTTATAATTCCTTACTAAGTGTAGTATTTCATCTCGATGTACTCCATCTTTGATATGATTTAAATCAAGTTCCTCATCATTATAATTCGCTTCCGATAGTGAAGAAAGTGACCCACAGGTTATTGAAAACGAAAACATTTCGATTGACAAATTAGTCGGTATTCTCAACACAGCAATTATAGGACTTGAACAGCGGAACTTTGTAACTAAACAAGAAATTATGTCTGTTTAATAGAATTAAAGAGAAAGTATTATCACATGAAACGAAGCAACTTACATTGAAAGAAATGTTTAATAAAGTAAACAAATAAATATTAAGCTTTTTCTTTTTGTAAATTTTGATACCCTTTAGATCATAATTGTTCTTTATTTCATAAATTACGGTTTATTTTTTTTTGTAATTTCTGCATGCCATCTTACCAGATTTAAACTGATGATCTACAATCCGGAAAAATCGATAATCCGGAATCGCCGAAGTCCCGACGAGTCCGGATTAACGACTTTTGACTGTAATAATATTTATTACCATTAGATGATTAGAATGAGATTCAATACAATTAGATTTTGAGATGAACTTACAGCAATAATAAAGCTTTACATAACAATAAGAGATTTAAATCTGCTTTTTTCGATAATTTTGATATTATAATATAAAAATCAAAATCCGAGATACATTGGTTGCGTTTAATAATTTAACTTTAACAAACTATCAGGCAAAGAAGGTATATCTTTAACGAGAATTTTTCTTTGTAAAATTGGCTTTTGTTTATGTTAGCAGAGAAAAAAATCCCGTGACTTATACATGCAATCATCAAAAGAATTTTGAGAACAGTTTTAAATGTTCACGAAGAATTAATTATACGTCAATTTCTTTTCATAGGTAGAAATTTCGTCTAAAACCATCGTTATATCCAAAAGTTGAAGTCTATTTCATTTTCAACGAATATTCTATTTGCACATAATATATTTTCTAATTTATTTTAGAAAGAGTAATCTTTCACGTTTTCAAAAGAATAAGGAAATATTGGGTGTTGATACCATGTAGTAAATTGTTTTTCATATTTCTTCCAGTAATGAAAACGATTACCCTGCAATATTTTCAAAGCAAAATTAAGAAAACCGTTTACGCCAAATTTTGCATAAAGTATCTTCTCGTGTATTTTTTTATTTAAAGTGTGGAATTTTCTCTTTGAAAAATATCAAAAATCATGAAGAGCAAAATTAATTCATGAGAAATAACTTTGAAATGCAATAATTCCATTGTAATATGAAATAGTGGAGAAAAGTGCAATACAGTTTATTTTTTATTCACAAATAATCCCCCTCATATGCGTAATTTATGTACTGTCGATTGAGAAATATAGGTTAGTAATTAATTAAACCGGTTAATTCAATACTTTTCCTTTATCAATATTTTTACCTGCTCTTCAGTAAAGCGGTAAAGGTGGCTGAACACTTGTAGCTCGCTTGGATTTTGAATCCGGATAAATAGTTGGATTCACGGTTTTTGTGTAACATAAATGCAAGCCAGCTTCTCTTAGAAAGTCTTCCGCGAAGGCATAACTCCCCTTATACAGGTAATTGTTGTGTGCTTTGATGTAATTCAGTTAGCGAACAAAATTAATCCAATCAATACCGAAGAACGGGTTGATTACATGTGGAGTTTTCCACCAGGAACGTAAATGCGAGCAATTTTCTCTTAAAAAGGTTTACACGAAAGCATCCATTCCCTTAAGCAGATAGCGTTCGCGTGCTTTTCCGTAATCCAATCCTAATTTTCATACATTTAGTAGTAAGTTGACATACACCTTATTACAGACAAAATAACAACCTTTTTTTAAAGATATTTTTTTATCAACTTGTCTGAATTCCCTTTATCTCTTGAGGAGTATAAGAATTTCAGCAAATAAAACTGGCCGAAATTTTATAAAATGTAACTGATGTTTTGATTCAGTTTAGAAGTAATGTGAGCTTTACTGATATTTAAATACTTTTTGGCAGATCTCATCCTAAAAGAGGGTTTAAAGATAAATTGATTTTATTTAATTTACAATCAATGAAAATCATTGAAAGCAATCACTGAATGAATGAATATCACAAAAACTATTATGCATACAATTGTTTCTTATTTATCTCCTGATAAATCAGACAAAATTGCCTGCATAATAGAAGCACTTTGAAAGAGTTAACAGTTCTTAAGGGTTTTATGCACTCCACGAAAAAATGTCAAAATAAAATCTTATTATTCATAAGTATGAAAAGGAAGTAAACGATAAAAGCGGTTTTACCTATTTTCTAGAAGGGCATTAAATCTAGGTGTTGGTGTTGGTGTATTTAATTATAGCAAAGCACACGAGCGCTATCTGCCTAAGGGGAGGGGTGCCTTCGTGGAGGACTTTCTAAGGGAAACTCGCTCGTATACACGTTACACATGGGGAAAACCACGAAAACGCCCATGCAGCCAGCCTGTTTGCGGGATTCGAACCTCGGACCCAACTACCAGTGTTCAGCGACTTTACCGCTCGGCCGCTGGTGAGCCGGGCATTAAATCTAAAAATAGTAATCTATTCTTATTTGTTATGATTAAAAAACTTTAAATATGGTAAGCTTAAAGAGCGTGCAAAATCGCTGACGTTTTAATCATAGCAAAAGTCAGTACTAAAAAAAAATTAGCATTAAAATTATGAGACAGATTGAGAAAGAGATGGCCTCTATTTAATTTTCAAGTATATTGGCGCGAGACGAAACAGATTGAGAAAGAGATGGCCTCTATTTAATTTTCAAGTATATTGGCGCGAGACGAAACCTGCGGTTTTTGCCAAAATGTAGCCAAACTGATAAGAAGAGGGAAATAATGCGTAGCCAGCGGCTACTCTGAGCAGCGACAATGGACCACCCAAAGATCTACAGATAGGCGATTCTCTAAAATGGGGAGGGCATGGATGGTACGACAGTTGTACCAATGCCAGCGTCTGAGAAAGTCATTCTCCTGGTACAACTGCTGTACCAGCTGGCTTCTAGAGGTTAAGTAAAGTAAATCGGTTCTGGAGCAGATCATCCGTCTCTAGTCTGAAAGGAAACTTGAATTGTGTATTATTTGTGTAAAACTGAAATTGTTCATTATTTCCACCCTTAGAATCTTTTTAAGAAGAAAATTATACAGCTTTTGGAAAATAATTATGCAATGATATATTTGTACCTCGAAACTCTGATGTCACACTTAGTTTCCAAGTGATAAATAAATACATTTTTAGAGGCTCTTGATCCTTTCTATTGCGATTTTGAAAATAATAAACTGTTATTAAATAAAATAGAACAGTTAATTTAACTTTTAAGTGAAACTGGACTAAATATGAAATTCCAAGCAGAAGGTATAGTTCATTTATGGATTTCATTAGCAGTGGAAACTGAATATAGTAAACTGCACAAACACAAATTATAATTCGGTTTGCTTCTATGTATCTGGGTAAGAAAGAGTTTTCATAATTAATTGAAATAAAAATAAAAGACCAAAACTGATTTCATGTACTTGCTGATATAAAACATAAGCAACATACATTGCCAACATAATCCAATTACACAACAACTGAGCAAGAATCAGCAGCTTCGTCCATGTCATTAAAGTGAGCAGCAAAGTTTATTTAAGTTTTAATTAATAAGATTACCCAAACTCTAATAGCCTTGAATTATTAAAAACATAACTTTTCTTAATTAATTGATTAATACCAATAATAAAATTAAATGAATTTTATTCAATTATAGCTTAAAAATGTTAGTCTACTAATAGTAATGGGATCTGCAGAATATTCCAATTAATAAAAGTCCCCACTTGAAAAAAGGTCCGAGATATGCTGCCTTAGAATGATGACTAGAGTAGCATGTGAATACTCCCATAAATACCTTAATGGCATCCATACACGAGCTCAAAAAGGTTAATAAACTTTATTCCTGTTTAAGTACACTTGTTTAATTTGAAGCCAAAGGTAAGGTAATTTGTGACATCTTATCTGCATGAGTTTCCATGTGTTTTTTTAGTTGCCATTTCCGTAAAAATGCTTTGCTGCATGTACCACACACATGGGTTTTCACACCAGAATGAATTGCGACATGCCTAGTCAAATCCCTCTTCTCAGAAAAACTCATGTTACACATATTACACACATGAGGTTTCTCCCCTGTGTGCAAACGAATGTGCTGCCTCAAATTAGATTTGAGAGCAAATGCTTTATTACATACCTCGCACACATAAGATTTCTCCCCTGTGTGCGTGCGAAGGTGCATCATTAAATCACTTTTCCCAGCAAATGCCCTTCCGCATACCTCACATGCATGTGGTTTCTCCCCTGTGTGTGTAAGTATGTGTCTGTTTAAGTCACTCTTGCCTGCAAATGATCGATGACATACATCACATGCATGAGGTTTTTCACCTGTGTGAACAAGTATATGTTTCTTTAAATTACTTTTTAATGCAAAAGCCTTGCCACATATATCACACGCATGAGATTTCTCCCCTGTGTGAGTCAGACGGTGATGAACTAAATCTCTGTGCTTCACAAATGCTTTGCAACATATTTCACACATAAATGGTTTCTCACCGGTATGAACTCGTATATGCATTTTTAAATCACTCTTGCTTCTAAATGACTTGTCACATGTACTACATTTATGAGGTCTTTCATCTGTATGTATGCGAATGTGCTTCACTAAATTACTCTTCAGTGAAAATGATTTGTTGCATGTTTCACAAACAGAAGGTTTCTTATCTGCATGCTTACGTGTATGTGACATGAAATGAAGTTTATCACGATATGTCTTGAAACATAAGCTACAAGTGTATGGTTTGATATCTGTGTGGGTACGCATATGTATATTTAAATATTGCTTTGCACTACAAGTCTTCTGGCATATGTCACAAGTATAAGGCTTCTTTTCAGCACAAAAAGGTACATCATTTTTGCTTTCGGTTGACATGCTACATGTATCACACATATATGGTTTTTGAGTCGGCTGAATATCAAGACACTTCTGACACATATTGCATACAAGAGACTTCATTTCCGTAAGAATACTTCCATCACTTCTTAAATCTTGGTTTGGTAAAGACATGTTAGAAGTTGCAGATATGGCTAGATTTTGAATCATAGATACATCAACACATTTCATTAGATGTCTTGCTACAGTTACAAGAAATTGCAACACTGGCCCAAAGAATGTATTCAATTAATCTCATATTCCATATTCAATTGACAAATACACAAAGCACAAACAGAGCTCTTTGTTTATTCTGGAGAATTAATTTTTAATAAATCTGAAGCAAACGGTATATTAAATATGTTAGCTTCTTCTCAGGATAGAAATAAATTATCTACGAATACGAATATAGCACATTATTGCTCGTCTATTGCCCACCCTGATAACAAAAGATTACAGCTCAGATGAAGTTTAGGCCTACAGCGTTTTACGTTGAATGTTTCTTGAAAGTTCATCTTGCTTATGAAAGCTTGGATACGTAATAAATTATCTAAAGATTTACAACTTCTTTAGTAAACAAACAAAGTAAACAGTTGTCCAGTTTTGCACACGCTAAGTCTTTCTGCCCCTAGGTCGAAATGTGAAGTTTCCTCAGTAGAACGGTGCTGGATGCCTAGGCTAAAAGCCTGAAGATAACAGGAGTAACCTAATAATTAAATACATAATAAGAGGTAGCTTGACAAGCAATTTTTTTAAATAAGAATTTTAAAGGTGTTAAATAATTTCTCAATTTTTAAATGTATCTAAAATATTACGCATGATTAAAATCTGGGAGCACAGCCGTCGAGCTGGTACTGAAAAGAATAAGTTAGTAGCATGTTATGTATAAGTGTGGAGTGATGGCACTTCGACACCATTAGTAGCAAAACAATGTAGTGTGCAGCAGAAAATTACATAACATAATACAAAAATTATTTTGAGTAGTAAGTGAAAGGATAAATACAAAATAAGCACAAAAAGTTAATAACACAAAAGCATTAAAACATTTAGTTACACACAATGTTAATAAAAACATAAGTATTGATTAGCAAGCAGGGGGTTACATGATTCAGTGGTTGAGTATTGCAAGTGGACGATTAATATTAGTGAGATCATTCGGGTCGTAACTGGAAATTTTAATAACAGGATTATTGATAGATTTCTGCTTTTCATGAAATCTTTCAGCTATCTTATAGTAGCGTGTTCTGAGTAAACTAACCTCTAGTTCTTCATGAATTCTCTGATTTCTTATGTACCATTGTGAGTTTGTAATCTGTCTAAGAGTGCAGTTTTGAGCAGTTTGAAGCTTTTTCCTACAATTTCTGTTAGAGTAGGCCCAAACAGGGCAGGCGTAACAAAGTAATGGACGCAAAATGGATTTATAAATGAGTAACTTATTATCTATGGATAAAACACTGTTTCGAGCAATTAGAGGGAAGAGTCCAGCTTTACGAGCTCGAAACTTTTGCAGAATAGCTGTGATATGTGGAGGTCCATGAGAGTGCTTTAGTGAGAGTCACCCCGAGATAAGGGACTTGCTTGGCCAAGGGGATTAAAGTGCCATAGAAACAGAGATTTTTCTTAAATTTTTGCTTCTTGGTAAACATGATGGCTTCGGTTTTACCCACGTTGTCTTGAATCTTCCACCTAACGAGCCAAGTCTCTAGTATTTGTATGTAATTTTGTAACCGTTGAATGACTGAACCAGCAAATGCACTTTGGGCGAGGATCGCTGTGACATCTGCATGCTTGGCTATTGTTGTGTCGAATGTTGTAGTGATGTCGTTCACATAGATATTAAAGTAAGTGGGTCAAGGTCACAAGGGTCAAGTGAGTGGGTCAAGTCCGACAACTTGATCCTAAAAGAGACCCTTGTGGGACGCCGGCCCTGATAGTGCCTGAAATGTGAACGACAAAGTATCTACCAGACAGGTAGGACAGGTGATGTTTATGATGTAATCTGGGAAACCCAGATTGTCTAAATTGTAGATGAGAGCGTCCAGCCAAACTCCGTCGAAAGCCTTGACTATATCAATGAAGATTCCTTTCTGGGATCCTTCAGGAATAGTTTCAACAACCTTGTAGAATTGATTAGTAGTCCCCAGCTGCTTCCTAAACCTAAACTGGTGAGGAGCTATGATATTGCTAGTATCCAGGTAGTTGTTTATGACTTTACTCAGTGATAAAAGTAGAGTAATGGGTCGGTAGGAATCAGACTGAGATGGAGGCTGTCCATGCTTTGGAACGGGAACTAATTTGAAAAGAGAAGCTTAGGTCTGAACAGTCACATTAAATTCCCACTTAGTGAAAACTGGCTTACAGCAAGGAAAATATCATTTGCCACCGCTTGTTGGTAACTGAAAGTGGCATAAAATCTTAAATTCGCTAAAACCTCTAAGAGAAAATTTTAAAAAAACTTGCATTACACAAATCTCATTTCAAATATGCATGTTATGGAAGGACATATTTTTATCAAAACTAATCCTGTTTCAGAAAATTCTCAATATACAGTTTATAATTTTATATATGTGTAACAATTATGAGTACATTCTCATAAAAGTATATTTTATTATATATACACAGGTGTGCAAAAATTAAGGACGAGACGGTTTTTTCAATATAACTTTGTACAAAAGCTTTCCAAATCAACACATTTAATACCGTAAGATCACCAATACGTAAGGACATGAGTAATGTAAGCAACACTTACTAAAAGAGAAATCAGAGGGATAAAAAGAAGCTTTATTGAAAAAGTAGCATGGAGCGCTATGCGACTGAAGGCCGAAACATCCCTGTGATGGGTGTCCAGCAAGAAACATCCGGTCTTTAATAGGGGATATGATCTTCCCTGACTGCTAGGCAGGTTTCACAGCGTCTGCCCATGCTGAGAATGAGGGTGTCAATGAGTTGTTGAGGCATTGCTGCCCATTCGTCTTGCAGCGCCAATCGACGCTCCGGAATCGTTACTAGTGGTAAGGTACGAGCTGCCAAGCGTCTGCCTAGAAAATCCCATACATGCTCGATGGGATTGAGATCAGGAGATCGCGCCGGCCAATCCATACGTTCAATATCCTCACTCTCTAAGAGCTGTTCGGCAGCTACTGTGCGATGACATGGTGCATTGTCGTCCATGAAAAGGAACTGCGGACCCATAGCGCCTCTAAAAAGACGCACATATGGAAGAAGAATCCCGTTACAATAACGGGTCCCGTTGACTGAACCTGCGTCGAAGATGGGAAGGTCTGTACGACTACCAAGCATGATGCCTCCCCAAACGAGAACACCGCCACCTCCATACCTGTCCCTTTCAATGATGTTCGAGGGATGATTGCGGCTTCCCCACTCTCTCCAGATGAGTATGTGATGAGAATCGCTACTCCGACTGAATCTGCTCTCATCTGTAAAGAGTACTCGTCTTCATTCATTGTCTCTCCAATTCCGGTGTTCCCGACACCACAGAGAACGCCTTCTCCGATGGGCAGGCGTTTGAGGTACACACCGTACAGGGCGTCGTGCAAACAGACCACCACCGTGCAGTCTTCTGGCCACGGTAAAACGCGATATCGGTCGTCCAGTCGCCTGTGTTGTGTGTCTAGCGATTTCTCCCGCTGTCTGCCGCCTGTTTCTTCTGGCCTGTAAGGCAATATACCGGTCATCTGCGGGTGTGGTTCCTCGTGGACGACCACTACTAAACCCCCGGATGCGTATTTCCAAACCCTACCCCACTTTTGGAATTTTTGACGTCACGGAAATATCGACTAGTTTCACCTGGCAAGACGGCGTACCCCACTTTTGACTACTACGGCGCGCTTTCGAAAGAATTGTGGTGCTGAATAGAGTGTTTAGGTGGTAATTGTGAGATTTTCACAATTTAAATTATTATGAGTGGAAATTTACGCAAAATCTTTAGTGAATGGTTATTGTTTATCGCCGTAGTATATCTGAGGAAAGAGGAGAATAATTCACTGCTAATGTATACATTAACAGTATGAAAAATTTGGAAGGTGATACTCGGCAATATATGTGATGCATTCATCGCAAAATTCAGCTACGCCAGTAAAACAAACGAGAGTGTTCGAAAAATTTATGCACATCTGAAGTCACTATAAAAAAATTGTATGTGTGCCAACACAGATATTTTAATAATAATAATAATAATAAACACTTGCAGAAAACTTCAAATCAAGGAATAAGAATTGCAGTGCCTCTGTGTGCTTAAAAACTACGAAGCATTCTGCAGACTTTTATGCCAAAATCAAGGTTGACAAATATATTAATAAATTTTAATGTTTCTTTTAGTGTATATATTTCAAAAGTATTAAAATAACTTGGACAGTTGTTTAATTGATTAAAACAAAAAAACAAAAAAAAAAAAAAAAAAAAAAAAAAAAAAAAAAAAAAAAAAAAAATAAGCAATAAAGTTCTTTTATAAAGATATACAAGGAACTTCATAATTATCAAATATTTCATTGCTTTGGTGAAAAACTGAAATTTACTAAATTAACTAACTTTTATAACATTAAAATTTTTCGTAACTGTAGCATGATGCTCTGTTTTAAAAAAGCTTAAATACTTTATTTGTTATACTTTAAAATATTTTCTTATTTATTTACTAAATGTGTTAAGAATTTCCATACATGCTTGTGCAGTGTGATTGCATGTTTGTGTAATAAACTTTTATTTTCATGAACGAAAAAGAAATACAATCTCCGAATAAGTACTTTTTCGTTTTCCAGTTCCTGTGTTTAGCTGTAAAAGTAAATTCACTTCAAGTATGTATCTGTGCACTTTTGACAATCTAAATACTGAAATGTGTGTACAGTAAAAAGTCAACTAAAAAAATATCCAGAAAGCTCTTAAAATTTTGGATAGTGGAGCATATAAAAAATTAAATACTGTAGAAAAGTAAGTGAATGGAAGAATGCTAGTCTGAAAATCATAAAAACAGTTCATCTTATTTGTATCAACTTGACTAATCAAAAGCCAATATTTAATATTATGCACGATTTTGAAACAAACAACGTATGCTGCTGATCTTTGAAATATGATAACGGGTGATTTTTACAATGGTTGTTATGTTGATTAAGACTTGCAAGTTGAGAACTTTAAATATGAACAGTAGTAACCTGAAAATTTGTAAGTAGTAACTTTTTATATCCAACAATCTCTGCCTAAATAACTTCCATATTTTAAGCAATTAAAAATATATATTTTTTAACCACCTTGTTATTAATTTTATAAAGTACATTCTATAATTTAAATTTTATTTACTTTCATCTATTTTAATGTTAGCCATTATAAATTTTTATACTACTTTTTAAGATTTCATAGTTGCTAATTAAACTTCCTTTACAATTTATTTAGGTATTTTATACATACATTTATATTTTATGTAAGAAAGGGATTTATTTGCAATAGATATACAGTGAAAATCATTTAACACAAAACTGAGGGGACTGAAATATTTTTTTGTGTTAAAGGATATTAATATATTTTTATTAACAAATCGGGCTTTTTTCATTTTTCATAGTAGCTTGATCGCCCGCTAGCTTGAAGAATTACGACT